CCCCAAGCCTGAGTGACTTCTTTCCCATCCAAGTTTCCCGAGCCCTCGAGTCCTTTGAAAGCTTTTGTGGCTTCATGGCAGTGAAGCTGTTGGACAGGTAAAATATGGGGTGAGCCCTCCATCTGCAGACCTCGCTGGGGAGCTCCAGCTGTGCTTTGTAACCATGTCCGTGCCATGCTTACAGACCCCTCCGTTCAAGTAGGAGCCGGGTAGTTTCCTTCTGCTGCTCCATCTGCAGCCCCCTGGGGCAGAGGGGAGGCAGGGAGGGGAGGATGCTCCTTCTCTTCTCCAAAGCGAGCAGTAGCAGCATGTCCAAGACATCCTGGGATCAGCCTTCCCGGGTGCCGGGGGACGGGCAGATGTTCCCCCCACCTCCCAGCATCTGCTCAGCCTTTGAAATCCTCGCTGCGCAGTGACTCAGCGGCGTGTTGAAAAACCCACGCTCCCTTTCAGTATGTGAAAACCCCTGAATCCCATGAATTCCCTCTTAATTTACATCCTGAATGGCTATGTTGGGAAGGAAAATCCTGCGGATTAAGGGACAGTGTTGCAATACGCCAAGTGAACAAGCATGCAGCAGACACTGCCCGGTTTTAGGACCCAAGGATACTCCAGAAGCACCAGGGAGCAGGTTTGGGACAGAGCAGCTCTCTGAATTAATGCTGCTGGGATGAGAAATACCTTTCTCACATTAACCAAGATGGTTGGTGACTGCTTTGGGTGGCCAGTGAGTGGCCCTCCTTGTCCTGACGTCCCTGAGCCTGACTCTGGCTGTGTGCCTACAGGTTGCTGGTGAGGGGACCAGGCTCCTCCTGTGGGCTCACCTGCTGCCTGCCAAGCACCTGCATCCCTACAGCAATCGGGAAATAGGAGCATCTCTGTGAGGACTTTGAACACCTCCGTGTATTTTTGAGGTCTCTAAACTGGATATGGGGAGCCTGGTGCTGCTCTGTGGTGAAAGCAGCAGCAGCTTATCCAATCATGCATTAATAAATAAAGTTTTTGAGATGCTTGAAGTGCTACATATCATCCATTTTCCTTGGCCAAATTTATTTGGTCAGAGGTGGCGGCAGGGTAGCTCTGTCACCTGCAGGCCTGGTGGGTAGGTGGCTGTGGGCTCCTTTTCTGCCCACATAACAATGATGGCTTTTCTGCATCTCCAAGTGCTTTACAGAAGAGGCCAAGATGATGGTCCTCACCTGCAGTTGAGGAAAGGGAGGTGCCTTGTGTTAAAAGGTGGTACTCGGGGCAGGAGAGTGCCATGGGCAGGGGGGCTGTGCTCTCCTCCCACTACATTTGCTGGGCTTGGGAGGAAAAGGTGTCCTGAGCTGTAATGTAATACTCCTCTAAGGCTTGGAAATCACCACGGAGATACTGAAAGCCTCCACAGCCGTTCCCCTGCAGCGGGCTGGTAGCGAGAAGGAAAGATGCTGGAGATGAAATATTGTCAAACTTGGAAGGGAGGAGGGGACCAGAAGAGCTGCCTGGGGAGAAGTCAGGCTCAGCCTTCACGGAAAGGGATGGGGATGGGATGGGATGGGATGATTCTGTGCTGAAGCTGGGGCTCGGGCAGGCTGCTTGAGAAGGGGACGGGTCTCTGTCTCCCCCACGATCACCTGCAGGATTTGGACACCTCCATCCATCTCGCCATTCCCAAGCTGCTGCACAGCCCCGACAGCCCCAGGAGCCGCTGCCGGATCCCAGCAGCTCGGTGCGGATGCCAGTGCCCCTGGCCTGACCCAGCCAGACGGGGAGGAGAGGCTTTAAAAATACATTCCCCATGCAAAACTAGGACAGAAATAGTCCTGCCAGGACTCGGAGGTTTCGTTTGACTGCGGGGGGTGCATCCCAGGCTGTCAGCAAGCAGAGGTGTTATCAGATGGCTCCCTCCTTTCTGATAGAGAAATAAATAGTGTTGAGCCAGCCACCCTGTCGTTCCCCAACACCAACATCTGCATTTTTCTGTCCCCCAGCTCCAGCCGAAAGGGGTCACACGTTTGCTAAGTGCCAGCTTCATTTTTATCTGGTGAACCAAGGGAGTGTTTGCAAGCTCTGAAGCCTTTGCTAAGCTGGCAGCTGCCTGAAGCAGCCCTGGCAGGAGGTATATTTTTAAGCAGAGGGTGCCAGACCCTTCCTGGGGGTTACAGGGCTGCGAATGCTGGAAGGGGCAGTTGTGCCTTTCTTCCTGCTTCTCCCAACTGGTGTGGGTGACTTCCCCTCTCTCTCATGTTTCTTGGCATGAGGTTTCTTGCGCAAGACCTGAGCTTCCTGCTAGGTTATGCAGTGGTTTGGTTTTTAAGCCCTATCCAGAGCTGTACCCCATAGGGGTCTTCAGAGCCTGGTGTGGGAGGTGCTCCTTGGATGGGTGAGCTGCAGAGGAGGTTGGTCCCCAGCACCGGGCTTGTACCTCCACTGGGGCTCAGCCTGCTTTTTGGAGAAAACATCTGACTCTAATACCACCATGGGGGCCAGAGGCTATGTACGAAGCAGCAGGCTGGAAATGCCCCCCATGCCCAATCTGGCTCTGTTTGGGGAGGGCAAAATCAGGCTTAGGAGAAGGTGTGGACAGGCACCAGCAGGCAGTCAGGGAGGTCCCTGGGGCAGGTTTGCAGTGACACCGCCAGTTCCCATGTTGGCAGTTTGTGGGCGCCAGCCAAAGCCCAGCCCTTTACATGCAAGCACCGCTGGGGATGGTGGGTTTATTTTCAGTCCTGCGAGCACTTGCTCCGTCCCCTGCGAAACCATCTGCTGCCTCCAGTTGGGCTGGTTTGTGGGCTTTGAATCAACAAAGCAAACACCTCCCCCAGATTTTCCATTTTTTGGCCACAAACCAGGATGTTTTTTATGCTCATCTTCTGCCTCCTGCCCCCCATGTCCTCTCCCTGCCCTCCCACAAGTGTTTTGGGTGAGAAGTTTTGGACTAGGTCTGATCCTTCCCTTGGCTTTGTGCTTCAATTCGGGCAGAGCACCAGAGTGCTGGGAGGGGACTCGCTCGGATGTGACCCTGGGATGCTTCCAAGGGTGCCCAAGCCCCGATGCGGGGGGGTACCACATGCTCACCAGGCTTAAGATGAAAACTTGAGCTTAATTACTTTGAGCTACTAATGAGCACCGGACGTGGCAGCTCTGCTGAGTCAAAGTGAAGATGCTGAGAAAAGCACTTGGTGAGGACCGGCTCAGCTGGTCTGTTTGTAGATGTGGGTCCCAACATGAAGGGAAGGGTTGAAAAACAAAATTAGGCAGCGTGAAGCTAATTAACGTGTGCTCCCCATGTACGGAGCGGCTTTCAAGGCTTCCCAGGGCTATGTCTGCAAAATCCCCCCACTCAAAACCTGCTCTCCCAGAGCCATGCGGTACCTCCAGCAGGGACACGGGGCTGTGGTCACTGCACATCGTTTTTGTCACCAGGGTGAGTGGTGTGTCCTGGCAGGGATGGCTGCGAGTCCAAGGTGGCCGGGGGATGTTGGCCACAAGAGAGTGGGACAAAATCAGGTTTGGGTTTAGCCACAAGCGACCGTCTCCTTCCCAGCATTGGTCCCAGCTGGCGACTGCCCGATTTGGCAGCACGCAGCACAGCTGTCCAGCTGGGCTTTCCCTGGTTTAATCTTCCTGGGTTGGTACCTGCCAGGGCAGGATTCATCCTGCTGGATGGGGACGTGGCAAAGGCAGGGCTTGATGCATGCTCAGGGAAATGAGCTCCAGATTTCCAGCTCTTGTTGGGTTTTATTTTGCAACTGGGTCCAAACCACGAGGCTTGTTCTCAATAAAACAGAGCAAACAACCACAGAGAAAAGGAGGGGAAAACAGTCTGTTTTCATCTTGGGCTTGTTAAGAGAGCTAATCATTTCACAGGGCGGGTCACAGCATTTGGGAGAAGCCCAGGAGAAGATATTGGGATGTTTGTTCTTTGAGACCAGAGCTTTGCTGGTGCTTGGGTTTAGCTATGTGTGGCTTGTCCATTGCCAGCCCTGCTCTGAGTGTCACTTTGCAATTATCTGCGATCTTCTGGGGTTTAATGAGACCTCTAAGCTTTTAGATTAATAACTGGCTATTTTCTGCTTTTTGCTATGAAGCCCTGAATGGTTTCCACCAAAAAAACCCTGCTGGTCCAGCTGTAGCCAGGATGGTCTGATGACTACTCTGCATATGTAGTCAAATAGTTTCATCCTTCATCTAGCACCATCAAGGGGTGTCGTGGGCTTGGGGGAGTCAAGCTCCCCCGTTTGCTGAATAGCAGTCAGCTACAGCCGTGCTGGGTGGGTCTGGCAGCCCCTCCAACAGGAATCAGTGGCTGGCACTGAAAGGGTTCACAAATTAGGGTGTCTCCAGTTCCCATCCTATATAAGAGCCTCCATCAAGGGCTTCCTTCTTGGATGAAACTGCAAACAGGGGGTACGGTCCAGGCTCTGGGTGAGGAGCCTTCATCTGCAGGAGCCACGTGACCGATGGCTAGGGGCTGCCCTGGCTGTGTCTGGAGAAACCCAGCAAGCCCAGAAGAACACAGCGTGTGAGTCCACGTTGGTAGGATCTCCCCAAAAATGAGACTGCCTTACTTGGCACTCGCTGCCCCAAATTCTCCATATATTCCCAGTGCACATGCATCGTGGGCAGCATCCAGAGGTCGAATGGCAGAGGGCCAGGGTGGCAAGGCTTGCAAAAAATGCTGACAGGCTCCGTCATGATGCCTGGGAACTGGGTTCGTCAGCGCTGGCATTGCTTTGACCTCCTGTGCCATGCCAGCCTGAAGTGCTCATCTGTTCTCAGGCTTTGCAGTCCTCCCTGCCTCTGCCTCCCCCTGGGGTTGGCTGCACGTCCCAGCAAGACGAGCCCAAGAAGTCCCAGAAAGCTGAGGAGAAAATGGCTGGAGACCAAAGAATTATGCAGAGGGGATGGTGATGTGAAAAGCAAAAGTTGTCTTGCAGAGAAAGCTCGGGGCTTTCTGCTGGTGAACCGTCACCGTGGCAAGTGTGCAGGCTCTGCAGCAGTGGCAGGAGGAGAAGGAGGAGGTGGTGTTCACCAAGTTGTTTTCTGGAACTGTGAGCCCAGAGCTCTTGGCCCAGACTCTAGCTATAAGAAGTGCAACAGAAGAAAGTCCAGTTATTTTCCTGAAATCTTTGTAACAATTCAGGGCCAGCAATGTTTTTCTGCTGAAATACACAAGCGACTACAGTTTTTCGCAGCTAACCATCAGTAAGCTGAACCCTGGTAGATGTTTGCTGGGACTCTCCAGTACATCAATCCCAGGGCAATCAAGAAGATCTGGGATGCCTGAAAAAGCCTTCCCTCCAATCAGTTCCTCACCACCGCTCTCCAGGTATTCCCTGTGAGGAGGCAAATTAAGGATTCTTAAAGTTACGTCTTTTACCAGGCAATCAGTGCTCTTCTCGTCAGGGAAGGGCGTTCATCAACAGTTGCGCAGGTCCTCGTGCTGAGATAAATACCATGTTGGATGGTGCCTCTTTCCAGCAGAAGACGTCTTTGCACGCAGAAGGCAGTGCGCAGACATGCTGCAAGGATGAATTTTGGACGGCTTGCAGTGGTATCACCTATATGGATGCACAGGCTGGGGAGACATGGGAGGACAGAGATAACCCCCTGGTCCGTGTCTAGGCAGCACTTAAAGGCCAAGTGGGGCTTTGGAGGTACCGCATGGCTCCGGTGGGATGTTCCCAGGGGACCACTGCGTTCCCACAGCTCCCAATGCCATTTTTCCCAAGGGAACGGGAGCGCCGGGAGCACGTGGGAAGGGAGCTGTTGGAGGCAGCTCAGCCTCGGTATAGTCAGTTTTTGGAGCTCATTTATTCAGCAGCTTCTTATATCCTTCACAAATGGATGCTGCTAAGTACAGAGACGTGACCGCTCCGGAGCTCAGTTATTTACAGCTCACTGCAGCTGACTTACACTGCCTCTGTCAGCAGGGCTGAGGGGGGAAGGAAAACCTTCTGGAATGAGAGCCAGGAGATATAAAAATCCCTTCCTGCTTTTTTTCCCTGTTGTCACAAACCCTGAGCCTGTCCCAGCCTGACGTGTCGATAAACGTGGGTTTGGGGGAAATCCGGGAAGCAGCAGGGAAATATCCATGGGTTTAGGTGGGGACCATGTGGAAATGTGGCAGGAGCTTCTCCTCGCTTTGACCTTAAAATGTGCATTTAAAGCTAAAGCAAATTCTCCCTGGCAAGCTGAAAACAAAACAGCTTTTTGGTCTCGCTGTGCCCAGCTCCATCCTTGCAGCATTTACACAACGGGCTCTGTTGGGCCTTGCTCCTCTTGGATGCTCTTTGCCTCTGATGTATAAAAGAAAAGAATCCTTCACAATGATAAAAATCCATTGTCCTCATGAAATGTCTTGGACACTGGCTGATGGGTCTGGTTTCCCCAATCCCCCAGGGAAAAGGATTTGCAGACAGACCCCACGTGTAGGTATGGGAGATGCGGTGGGAGAGACATCTTCCAGGAGCACAGTCTCTGCACTGCTCCTTGGGGTTACCAAGCCAAGCCTTGGCTGTTGGCATCTGCAGTGCTCACCACTGCAGAAGGCAAGTCCTCATGGGGAAGGCAGAGCTCCTGCAGAACACTGTGAAGAGCTGCCAGGGGGGAAAGAAAGGCGGTGACGTGCCTGCGAAGGACCTTCAGAGCAGAGACAAGAGGCAGGAACGAAGTGCAAGCATACGAGTCATGCGCTCAGGGATGACAAAGCCCGTGTGCTGGCTGTCTCCTGGCTGCCCATACCTGTACTCAGCCCATGGCCACATCCAACCCAGCAGTGTCTTTGAGCTGCCTTGATTGGCAAGTGCTTAAAGCTCCCTGGGTTTTTGTTTTCACTTGGTTTGGGTTGTTTTTTTCTTTTAATAGTAAGGCTCATTTTCATGCTGACTACCAGATATGTGACTTGCAGCTACTCAAGCAGGCGTTGCAGCCAGTTTGCAGTTCTCAGTTGCTTCATCCCCATGGTTTATTTAGTGTTCCTCCTCTCTCCATCCAAGGTGGAGCTGCCTGTTAAGGTGTTTTCCTCTAGGTCCTTTCTGCAGGAGCAGCTGCGTGGTCATCAGGAAACGTTTGGGCATCTCTAAGGATAGTTGTTTTTGTGGTACAAATGATGACCTGTCTCTAGGCCCATCCGTGCTAATTGGGAGTGGGGAGGAGTGAAGCCAGACGAAGGGCAGCCTGGCCATGCTCAGTTAGCTTCTGCTTCTCTTTCTTCTTGTGCTGTATCGCTGTTGAATTTCTTAAAGCAGCTTTGTCTTCCTCAATTTCTCTCCACGCTTTGCGTGTCTCGCTCATTTCTGCCAGGCTCCATTTCCTCCTTTGCTCCTCAGTCCCCTCAGCTGCTCATCCAGCTGCTTTTTAATCTGTTTGCCTCCCCTGCTCCCCTTGCTTCCCTTATGCAGCTCTCTCCTGCTTTGCTCTCGACGCGTTCGCTGGCAGTGTTTTCTCTGCAAGTTGTTTGTCCGGCCGCGTGACAGGCGTAATGTTTGCAGGGCACTTGTCCTTCGCAGTCCAGTGCATGGTCTTCACCGAGGGGTGACCCCAAGGGGTGACCCCGAGGGGTGGCACCTGAACCTCCCTTGGATGCTGGTGCTCGCTCAGCCATGTCACTTGTTCACTTGATTCATCCAGATTTGAAGGGATGGGAAGGGGAGAAAAGCCTCCCAGCCATCAATCATCCTTGAGCCTGCCCAGACTGAGATTTGCAGTCCAGCTCTCACGTGAAATTATTGCACCTTGCCTCCTCCTCCTCCTCCTCTTCCTCACTTGGCGCTTTGCTTCAGCATCCCAAACCTTCCCATTTCAGAGCAGGGCTTGTCTCTGGCTGAGGCTGTGTTGTGCAGGTGCTGTAGGGTGAGCCCCTGGGTGGTATCAGTTGGGGAGAGCTTTAGATTATGATAAACTCGGTTCTATTATTGCAACGGTGAGGGTTTAACGCTCCTTAACTCCCTACCCTTGGCTAGATAACTCACGTTGTCTTATCTTGAGCCAGACCAAAGCAGCTGCCACGGTGAGAGGCAGCGTGGGAGCCCTGCAGCCATCCAGAAACCTCACCCAAGGGTCTGGGGGCCCCTCACCACCCAAATCCCCTAGCGGGTCCTGAGTTCCCACCCGTTGCCATAGGATGCTGGTACCTAAGCGCTCCGAGGATTTGGGGGCTGTGGAGGGACCGATCAAGGAGGGCATCCCCTGGGCAGGAGCCACTGGTGATGTCCCATGGCTTTCATATGCAGACCGCTAAATAAGTAGCTAAATTCTGTTTTGTTAAAAAGATAAAAATAAAGCCCCACTCTTGTGCAGAGTTATTCACGGATAGCAAAAAATAGAGCTGGTATGCGATGCCTGCCTGTGATGTACTCCAGGAGCTGCAAAGGCACTAGCTGGCACTTTGGGACCAAGGGAAAGATATTATTTATAGGCAGGCTCCGTAAATCATTCCTCTGAAGGTTTTTTTCCTTCGAGCCTCCTCCCTCTTCCCTTTGTAGCATTACTGTCTTTTTCCCTTTCCACTTGCTAGCAGCATTGCACTAATTGTGCACTAACTTGTGGAGAAGTAAGCAGCATCTCTTCCTTCTCTGGTCCCAAACCAGAAGGCACTGTGTAGCAGGGACGCATACCCAGAGGTGAATTAAATCAGTGCCGTGCAGCCAAAGATTAATTTCACTGCACTTGTCCCTGCGTTCCATCGGAGATGGATATTTGTTTCCAAGTGTGGCACCACGCAGATAATTTTTAAGGGGTCCTTTTGCTCAGCAGCAGCAGGGATCCGGCTGGGAGCCGTGAGGTTATTCCCCAACTTCCCCTACACCCTTAGTCTTTTTGTAAACTGAAAAACGGGGAATTTAAAGTCCAAAGATGTGTGTCAAATCATCAGCAGAGAATAAATCTGCATCCTTACTTATTTATGACTTACCTGGCATATTTTGAATAATTGATTTATCTAGCGTTGTGCACTTGGGAGGGTAATGGAGGATGATGCTGCAGGGTCAGAGGGATGTGAAGAGGGAAATAAAACCCTGAGAAGGAGCTTTTGAAGAAGCTGGTTGAGAGTGGGCTTGCTTTGATGTCCAGCTTTGCTTTGGCAGATGCCCTCTGCGTGAAAAGCTGCAGGGGTCCTGCACGGTGAGGAGCAAGGGGTTGTCACTGGGCCACGACCCGCCGCGGCAGAGCCTAACCCCGCTCGCCCCTTGCCTGTCTTCCAGCCCATCACTTCATCGTGGCGACGGCATGCCAGGAGGCGGACTACGGCTGGATGATCCAGCACTACTGCCTGAAGCAGTTCCAGCTCAGCATGGAGGGCATTGGGCAGCGGCTCTGGTGCGACTGGGATGAGACTGTGGGGTAAGTGAGGTCCCTCTGCTCGCCCCTCCCTTCCCCGCGTCCCAGGACCGCCTGTACCTGTCTTTGATTTTGGGATGTAAGGAGGTCAGTGGTGGGTTTTATTTCATGGGGGGGAACAAATGTGCCATTTCACTCCACTTTGCAAGTGCTGATGCTGCCCTGGCTCCATCCCTGCTGGGTCCAGCTGAAGGGTCTTCCCTGTCCCAGTCACTTGTGGAGGGGCCACGAAGTAGGCTTGGAGGGGAGAGCAGTGGATGTTGTCTACCTGGACTTCAGTGAGGCTTTTGACACCATCTCCCATAAGATCCTCACAGACAAGCTGACGAAGTGTGGGCTGGATGAGCAGACAGTGAGGTGGGTTGAAAACTGGCTGAATAGCCAGGCCTGGAGGGTGGTGATCATTGGACAAAGAATAGTTGGAGGCCCCCGGGTGTACCCTGGGATCAATGCTGGGTCCAGTCCTGCTTAACCTCTCCATTAATGGTCTCGGTGATGGGGCGGAGTGTAACCTCAGCAAGTTTGCAGATGACACCAGGCTGGGAGGAGTGGGTGACACACCAGAGGGTCGTGCTGCTGTCCAGAGGGACCTCGACAGGCTGGAGAAATGGGCTGATGGGAACCTCGTGAAGTTCAGCAAGGAGAAGTGCAAAATCCTGCACCTGGGGAGGAACAACTCCATGCACCAGGACATGCTGGGGACCATCCAGCTGGAAAGCAGCTTTTCAGAAAAGGCCCTGGGGGTCCTGGTGGATACTGAGTTGAACCCGAGCCAGCAATGTGCCCTTGCAGCAAGAAGATGAATGGTATCTGGGGCTGCATTAGGAGGAGTGTTTCCAGCAGGTGATCCTTCCCTCTACTCAGCGCTGGTGAGGCCACCGATGGAGTGCTGGGCCCAGTTCTGGGCTCCCCAGTGCAAGAGAGACATGGACATACTGGAGAGAGTCCAATAAAGGGCCATGAAGATGATGAAGGGACTGGAGTATGTCTCCTATGAGGAAAGGCTGAGAGCTGGGGCTGTTCAGCCTGTAGAAGAGAAGGCTCAGGGGGATCTTACTAAGGTATATAAATACCTGAAGGGAGGGTGCGAAGAGGACAGAGCCAGGCTCTTCTCGGTGGTGCCCAGTGACAGGACCGGAGGCAATGGGCACAAACTGAAGCATGGGAGGTTCCCCCTGAACATCAGGAAACACTTTTTCACTGTGAGGGTGACCGAGCACTGGCACAGGTTGCCCAGGGAGGTTGTGGAGTCTCTATCCTTGGAGATATTCAAAAGTCATCTGGACATGGTCATGAGCAACCAGCTCTAGGTGGCCCTGCTTGAGCAGGGGCGTTTGGGCAAGATGAGGTGGATCTCCAGAGGTCTTCTCCAACCTCAACCATTCTGTGATTAAATGGGCTTTCAAGGAGCCCAACCTAAGCAGTGTTTGGAAATTAGGATGGCAGTCTTGCTCAATACAGTTATGTACGTATGAAAAACCACACACCCCAGTGGCAGAGCTTCAACAGGAGACCACTCTTCTCACTGTCTGCTACATGCTGGGTATTGATGTGTTAATAAGGCAGTAGATTGGGATCCCCGTCACAGCTCCATTACCTCTTCTGGTGAGTCACTGCTTGATGGACATATTTCCCATGAGCTTTTTCTTTTTTCTCAGCACTTAGGTTCTCCAGGCAGTCCAAAATGCCCAAACTCAGCTTGAAAACCCCACAATCCACTGAGATGCTCTCAGACCCTATGAGAAAATCCCACACTGTCCCACCGGACCTGCTGGCTCGCCCGCTGCTTCCAAAAGTTGTGTGTTGATTTTTCTTAGCAACTAGAGGGAGAGGCTGGCATGATACGGCATGGCAGTCTTCTGCTAAGCCTCCTGTTTGTAATCAGTGTCAGGGAATTAGTGGTGATTTATGACTTAGGAGAACTGGAGATGCGGTCTGCTTTCCTGGTGGAGCGCTCGGCGGCATCCTTGGGGAGATAATGAGGGTGATAAAGGAACCCTACTTAATGCAGCAGCATCAGGGAGAGCAGGGATGTTGCATATGGGGAACATGCTGTTCTGTGGGGGCTTTTTTGGCATTTCTTTTTTTTTTTTTTTTTTTTTATTGCGAACCACCTGCATGATGCTTTCTTTGGATTAGCTCTTTCCTATTTATAATCAGCAGAGCTGAATTTTTCAGTACCACCATGGCGTAAATCATTCTCCTGGTGAGATGGTTTTGATTAAAGTTGCAAAGACTGGTCAGGGGTGTCTGTGTATTGGTGTGAGGGCCTGAAAAGAGAAAATAAAAACCCGTTCTCCACTCTCAGCTGGCTTTCTGCATCGTACAGCAGCGTTGTGCCGTGGCCTTTCTCCAGGAAAACGAAGTGGCAGACAAAAATGAGCTCTTGTGACACAAGGGGGGGATTGAGGTCAGTTGGAAATGGCGAGCAGATGTTGCCGTATGCCATGAGCATTTTGCACAAAAATTACACTTTTTGTAAGAAAGATTTTGGTTGATTTCCTGCTTCATGCCCCTTTCTTCTGTGACAAATTAAAATCTCTATATATGTGTGTATGTATATATAGATAGATAGATTTTGAAAAGGACAGCCTGGGTTTTCCTTCCCCTTTATTGGTGACAAAATGGAGAGGAAGAAAAGAGAGCGAAATGACTGTGGGAGGTTTCCTGGTTCTGAGGAACCTCATCTGGTCCTCAACAATGTCCAGGGCTCCTGCTGTTGCTCCTGCCCCTGGCCACCGTGGGGGTCTCTGTGGGACCTGTCCCCCTCTGTCGACACCTTTGGAGGCAGCATTCAGATGTGGTCTAGATGTGGTGAGTGGCAGGAGAAGGGGATAACCACCTCCCTGCGTCTCCCGTCTGTGCTGGGGGTGAGCTCCCACCCCTGAGGCCATCCCAGCAGAGCTGTCCCCAACACGGGCTGTCCCCGTGCAGGGGCTGAGTGTGTCCCAGGAGCAGGACTTTGCTTTTGGTCCTGGTTCGATGCTATCTGCAAGCTTGATGAGATGCAATCCATCTCTTCCTCCAGACCTTCGGCAAAGCCATTGCACAGGAAGCAGAGGTGTATTAAAGAGCTCGTTCTTTATCTCCAATGTCCTGTTTTTCTTCTAAATAGCTTCTACTAAACTTGTTATCCTTGAGGCACTCGGAGGAAATGTTGATAAACTTGCAGTGTTTAATTTGATTGCATGAGTCCATTTGCTCCGTGCAAACACAAGGCTCGGGTTATTTAAGGGTTGACATTCCTCTGATCCTCCTGTGCCCTCAGGACATTGGGAAAATCAGGTAGAAATAGTCAGCTACTGCTGTAAATAAGCTGCTCTGCAAGGATATGGGTTTCAGGTGGCCACCTCGCTCGACACCCCTGCTCCCTAGGTGTGCATGGGACTCACCACCCCTTTTAGAAGAAGAAGTACTGTTAGGAGATGTTCCATCAGGAGTGGGCAGGGGGTGGCATAGGCTGGCTGGTCACCCCTCTGGTTTTAGGGGGAAGGACTTGACTTCCACCAGGCGTCAGATGAAGAAATGGAAATAAAACATCTGCCTAGAGCCTCGTCTCCTCTCCATATCTTCCCCCAAACCGAGGAATTTTGATGCTTGAAACCTGTCCAAAAAGAGAATGAGAAATATCTGAAAGTCTTGCCTCTGACAGGTCCTGTACCATCAGCAGCATCGGGTTTGGAGCTGTGATTTCTCATATGTGGCATTTAGCGGAGAAATGCCCATTAGGCCCATCATTTACTGCTCAATTGAGAATGACATGATGGGAACATCTGGATAAATGAATTGTCTCAGCAGAGTTTGTAATTGTGGTTTACTGGTCCTATTTATAGGCTGCAGATTATCCTCCCATCTTACTCTCAGAAGTATTAACCAAGCTCTTTCATTGCTGGTACCGCCGCGTTCAGCTGTAACAAACAGAGGGGTCTCTCTGGACCAGGAGTGTTTGCTGAAGGTTGGGCTTGGACCATGCGAACAAGCACCAACTCTCTGGGAAGGTTTGTCCGACACCGTTGAGCTCTGCTGGCTTTCTTAGCCATGCTTATTTGGGGAAAGTTGATGTTTTTTGATATGCTGAATCGTGTGCCAGGGGAAATTGCGTGAGCTGTTACACGCGTCAAGAATGGGATGCCAGGTGGTTTTTAATAAAACAATTAGTTCCAGAAGTTGGCCATGAACGCTGTCTCCTGGGAAGGGAGGACTGCTCTGAGAGGTGTTTTCCCTTGGGTCATCTGGTTTCTTTCCCTCTCTTCCTCCCCAAAGGGCGAGCGATCCAGTGTGGCCTCGGATGCTCCTGCTGGAGCTGTGCGTGCCTGAGGCTGCTGGGTCAGCTGCCCACCTACCTGCTCACGTGCTGCAAGCTGGTGTCTCCAGCCCCCCCCCCCCCCCCCATGGCCTTGCCCTGTAGATCCTTGGCCTGAGAGCAATTTAGACCAAGCACCCTGCCTGGTGTTTTGTTTTCCAGGGCTGCAAGCCCTGGAACCCCATTATTTAAAGCTGGAGCTGCATCGTGGTCTCTGCTTCATGGTGGTGGCTGAGCTGCTTTGACCGAGAGCTCAGCTGTGCGTGACTAATTATCCTGAAGATCAACTTGGCTATTTTGATTCCAGGTCCAGATTCATCGGCGCGGCGATTGAGCCAGGGGATTAGCTGAGGTCTCCCTCGGGGCAGCTATTTTGGGGAGGCGGAGCACTGCTGGCAGAGCCGGAGCTGCTAGAGGGGTGGGGCTGCCGGCCGCTCACTCACGAATGCATCAACAGGAGCCGATGACTTACAGATATTTTTCCTGCATGGTTTTAGCTTGCCGGCGGGCCGTGGCCGGGGGATGGCTTGGCATGGCAGTTTTTGCACGGCGTTGGTGCATCGGGCAGCAGCAAGCAGGCTGGGAGGGTGCTCGCCCGCAGCTGGGGTGGTCCCCCCAGCCGAGCCAGGCGCCTTCATCCCAAATATATTCGCCCTGTGGCACGCCTAAAAATCTCCGGGGAATGCTTTCCCATTGCCATGGGC